TGCTTTGCTTCAATTGTTGAATTGCCTCCTCCAATAAGGGAGCACCAAACTAATATAATGCTTTTAGCTTTATGGTCGGCTAAGGTGAAACCAAATGTCAATGTATTTCTCGAAAGAACCATGTAAGTTATTCATACAGTTGGCTTGTTTCTTATTAATAAACGAAGTCGAGCTCAACTGTTAGAATTACAATTACTTACTATTTTCTATTCATTTTAGAAGTGATATTGAACAACTTATGACTCGTGGTACGTCATTTTATATCAATAACATTGAATATAATATTGTCGTACGTACCCAGTTCTTTGTGTCAGATCTGCCTGCAAAGGCACTATTCTTAAGAACTACGAATTACAACGGTTATTATGCCTGTAATTATTGTTTAACGAAAGGTATATGTCGTCTCAGTCAATGACTGAATCTCGAGTTATTGAAATTTTAATGTTTTAAAACCTCGAATAATGTCTATTTATTTTTCTTATTAAGACTGACTCTTATAGCATTTCGAGTGTGGTGATGTAGACAGTATTTTATAAGAGCCACTATAACATGATTAAACGAATGGAAGATTTAGAGGCTTTACACTAACCAATATAACTGAACAAAGAAATGCTACGAAATACACTAAAATTTTTTCAAAATTCAAAACTTTGTTTTTATTTCAAATTTTTGATGAGTAGTCTAACTGTCATCAGGCAATAGTCACAAAAAAAAAAGAAAAATCATTCACACATACAGATATAAAGGAAAAGAGCAAACAAATTTAATTAATTGTCTTACAAGGTAAATGTAATTGAATAAGTGATTGTAATTTCACAAATATATAATTCTTTATTGAGTTGTACTTATCGTGTAATATAATTAACTGTGTTTGTTCTTTTTTGTTATATATCCATGTATATGTATCACTTTTCTTTTTTTGTACTTATTTCCTTACGATGCTTTATGAATGCTCAATATTTTTATTTTCTTTATAGGATTTTGGAGTGGTTCATCTGTGATATACCCATATGATAAAAATAATTTAGAATTGCGAACTCATTCAGGATTTATTGCAGCAGCTAAATCAGCTGAAGAAAAATCAATAGAAAAACGAGTTGCAAATATAGAAGGTGTGAAGGGTTTATCATGTTTATTAAAAATTATTTCATATCCACAACAAGTTGTGCTAGATTATATGCACCTTGTGTGTTTAGGTCATGTACAAACTCTAATTAAAAGGTGGTGTCAATTAATTAACAAAACTGATATAATGAAAATGGATAGTATGTTATCCATGGCACGTTTTCCACATAACATACATGTTATGTACAATGAATCAATTTTGGCTATTGATTCATGGAAAGCTAAACACAGCAGATTGCTGGTCCTAAATCTCGGTATACCTATTGGTATGTTATCAAATTCATGCTTTTTCTTTCATTTATGAGTTCATGATAGAAATTAAAAATTGTTATTTCCTAGTTTTTTTCTATTCTTTTAGGTATTTCTTGTCTACCTACGTTACATGCTTCACATTGGACAGTTTACTGTTTGTTTATTAAATTATTACATGCACCACAATCATCTGAAGATATTGATTTTGCTGAAAAATTAATTAATTTTTATTGTCGTACAATTGCTGATGTTTATGATAAATCATTAGAATTATTTTCATTACATGCACATCTCCATTTACCCGGTCAAGTACGATTACATGGTGGATTATCGACATCATCAGTAAGGTATCTATTCGTTAAATAGAACATCGGCTGATTAATCATAATTTTTCTTTATCAAGGCATTTACATTTGAGTCTTGTATTCGATATTTAAAAAGTAAGGTGCATGGTACAAAACATTTAGCTACACAAATAGCTTATTGGTATGATATTGAAACTATCGTCAAAACTACGATGTTTGAATTAGCAACACCATGTGGTGTTAATGAAATAAATTTTTTTAATGAAAAAATGAATTATTATCGTAAAATAATAGCTGCTCTTCTTTGTACTAATCAACAAGATATAAACCAAATTATATTTTACACACGTTATAAGAAATGCTTTTTAACTTTCCATACAATAATTTACGATAAACCATATAAATGTCGTAGTTACATCATATCATACATTAATAATAGTGATGATTATGACGCGCTTAATTATGCAAATATAATTGTATTTTATAAATATCACAATGATTATTTTGCACTTATACAAAAATATCATTTTTCACGAGAAAAGCTCTCGCATTATGTAGAATTGCCTGTAGAAATATGTCAAAAATTGGATAAATTGTTTCCATTACTCGAACGCTCGGAGGACTATGACATTATTCCTGTAGCAATGATTCGCCATCAATGTGTAATGGTAGAATTTGAAGATGTTTGTTGTTTATCAGAATTAAGAGTTGATTCTGAACATGATTAAATAAAATATTAAATAAATGATTTGACTTGATACTTTGTTGATATTTTGGTAGAGTATGTTTTTTGTTATTATAGATTTGATTTTTATTTTCAGTTACTTTACGCTGGTTTTTTTCGAATGACATCAACAAACGTATACGAAAAACATTATCTTACCAAGTCTCGCACAAAAAATGATGATAATGTATATGTGTTGATTTTATTTAAATGTGACAATACATTTATTATTAAAAAAAAATCAAATCTTCATGGTATTGCAGAAAATGGTCTAGTGACGATCAAAGATCGAAATAAAAGTTATGTTGGTTATTGTTTATTTGAGGGTGAGTGTTTGATGAAGAGATAACGTAATACATTCGGTGAAGATTTCTATTTCAAACTCTCACATGTTATAGGATCATTAACAGAAGTGGAATCTGCGGCTGAGCGTTTAGATAAAGAAATGAATACTGATTTAGAATCAGATTGTGAAAATATTATGAATAATCATAAAGTGAACAAACAACAAGGATTCAGTCAATCTTCAATATTAAAAACGCCAAACAATTCAAGTTTTAAGATTGATCGTTCAGCAACAATAAAAAATAGTAAGGTTCAAAAAAAAATAAATAATGGTAATAGTTCCAACAGCAAACCTTTCGAATAATTAATGATAATTTTCGATTACTTTTAGATTCAATAGATTCAACAAAACGATCTTTAGCTACGACGTCTTTTGATAGTAAGATATACCTTGTATTCTATACATGGAAATGGTTTGGCATTCGTTGCAGGTGCATCAAAAACGTATGAAACACCACCAATTTTAGACAAGGCTGTTCAGAATAAAAAAGTACTGGAAGCATCATACAAACAAGGTAAAGATTATACCGTATAATAATTTTACAGGTACTGTTTCTTTAGATGCTGCTTCTGCTTATCAAGCCCGATGTGATAGTCAATGTGTAACCGAAGACGAAGAAACTCTACAAAGTGAAGAAACATTATCATCGTATGACGGTGCTGATGATTTTGAAACCGATGATGATGACGACTCAACAGAAACAATGGTTGGTATTACAAAGTCATTAACAACAGCAGCACGATTGAAATCAACATCAGTTAATCAAGTTAAATCCCATAAATCCAAACAATCTTCATCATATGTTTCAAAAACCTCTTCGAACCGGTTGTGCAATAAGCAACTTTTTCCTTCAGATAGTGATGGTAATCAAGAAATAATGTCATTATTGAAATCGTCAATATTAATAAACAAGGATTTAGCAAGGGATATGAAACTCTCATTACTTGACATAAAGCAACTGTTTGCATTGCTCGATAAGTTGGATGCAAAGCTACAGTTGATATTTGAAAACCAAAAAAGAATACAGCGAGCATTAGCAAAACGAAAAGTAAATAAGCTTTTTTTTAGAAAGTTTTCAGAAAAAATAACAGTATTATACCCTCTTTTAGATTAATGTAGCACTATTTGGTGGTGATTTTGATACAGAAAATCAATCACAGAGTGACGTGCCATTTCAGCAGTCTCTAGTAAGTTTTTCGTATTAGTCCGCTTCGTTTTATGTTCCTTTAGTTTTAGAGTTACAAGAAACAAGATGGTACAACTGTCGATTTATTACAATTATACGGCGTTCGAACACAGATAGGACGTTTCGTCGCTCTGGTGATGGATCATGTGTTTACAAAACATGAACTATGCACCATCACAACAAGTGAACTGATAAAAGATGAACGTTATAACATTATTAGGGGTAGGAGAATCAAAAAATTGAGAAGTTTGGTTATTTTGATATTTAATTTTTTTTAGAAACTGTAAGATCAAGATTCAAACTCGATGCGAAACAAATGAATATCGAGTGGCCGACAATTCATGAAAGTATACTTCAAAAACGACGCAATGAAAGTAAAAAGAAAAATGGTAATACCAGCATCGTCAACAACAACCATTTACCACCACAATAAATAAATAAAGATGATATTGTTCTGAATGATACAAAAGTTAATTTGGAAAAAACGTCTTTCTGCTCTATTTTTTTTTGTATATTAATATGATTGTGTTCTATATGAAATCTTTTTTTTTCATATGATTTTTGTGTATATTATATCACATATGTAATAACTTACAAATAGAAGGAAAAATAAACAAATCATACATGAAAAACAATATTTATTAATAGATGTGCCCGGTCTAATTTTCTGCAATACAGTTGGGAAAAAGAACCGCCGGTAAACCCTGATTTACCGTCAGTTGATTGTGGTTAACCACGGTTAACCGTAAATTTTTCGGTTAGCCGCAGTATACCGAATGGTTAACCTCACGGTTGACCGAATGGTTGACCGTAGTTAACTGACGGTTTTTTACCGGTTCGAACGATATGGGATCGATATTTCTTTTATATCTGAAGAAGCAAATTAGCTGAGTTTCTGTCCTATGGAGATATATTTGTATATATGAGTGAAGAGCACAGCTATTGTACTGTTCGCGGAAAAGAAATTGATAAAAATAAATTTAATAATAGTAAAAACTAACTGTTGCATTTGATAGAGTGATGTCGACTATGTATAAAAATAACATTTTCCAAACATTTTCCTGTGTTGAAGTGGAGATTCACGATATAAAACTAACGAGGGAACATATCCAACTGTCGGATGCCGTTCGAGCCCATATTTTGGCTACGAGTTGGACTCGGTGAGACTAAGAAAACCCTAAAAGGGTTCGTGCCCATGGCATATTCCTGGTGAGATATCAAGTTTTTAGTGAATTTTCTCTATAGCACCCCACTTTTGCAGCAAAGCTATACTTTCGAATTTTGACTTGAAACTTTGCCCACATAAAGGACTCAGCTAGACCAGCTTGCATAAAAAATGTCAGAAATTTTCAATAAAAATCTTTTCGAGATACCGAGCTTTCAAAAAGATGCATGCTATATATACTATCTATAAAAAAGGGTCTGTGTCTTCATAGTTCTATATCTCGGAGAGGCTTTGTTCAAAACTTCTGAAATCTTTTATGCAAGCTGGTCTACAGTGTGGGTGTGGGTGTGGATGTGAGTATGGGTATGGGCAATCGTTCAAGAACATTTAACACCCACACTCACCCACACCCACACCCTAAAATAAGTCGAAATTAATTCCTAAAAAACGTTTTATGTTAAAACTTACGCGATACTTTACATGCATATGAAGGATTACAAATACGCCAAATTTTATCATCAATTGATGATAAAATAAAATGCTAATGAAAAAATTTATTTTAGTTTTAAATTTATTTTTACCCAAATTTGTAAAAGATCATCATTGAATAAAATTATGTCGGTTATAATTAACTAACAATCTTTTTTACTTTTAATAAAACGATTAAGATGCTTTTTTTTTATCAATGGATCAAACAAATCGAAGAGATTGTTCCGTTTTATTGGCTAAATTTCGAATTTCATCAATTAAATCAACAAAAGTAGATGAACCTAAAATTTATTGAATAATTTTTATTAATGAACAATAATATTATTGTTCATTTGTTCAATCAAGGATTATATTATTCATTGATTTAAGAATCTCATTCCTCGTAATTCGATAAACGTCATTAATAGGTGAGAATGATTTATCATCAAGGAGACCACCATGATGATAAATCAAGAATATACGAGTTAATTCAGAAATCTAAATAAATGATATAGTAAATAATATTTAAAAAAAATAAAAGAATTTTCTAGAGACTTTTTCAGGTTGTAAAATAATCGAAAGAATAGATCGATTAATAATCGTAATTGTTGCTGTTTTTTTCTAATGGAGATTTATTAATAAAATCAAATTTAGTTGTTGAATATAAATATTCTTTCCATTCATATTGATAATTAATTAAATTTTGAAATAAATTGGAATACTTTTTTTTTTATTAATTTCATCGGAAAAACAAATAATCATGAATGACTATTTGTAAATGATAATCCTTTTTGACTGAGACAATTTGGAATTATTTTTTGATTAAAAATTCAAATAATTGAATATTTTCAATATTATCTTGTTTAATAAATGCAAATATAATAAGAAACTATTGAAGATAATCATTTGACATAGTTGATGAAAGATCAGAATAGATTTATTCAAAACAACGAAGATAAATTTCTCTTAATTCACCTTTACTAATCATATCTAAACTCAATTCTTCATGATAAATTATTTGTTACAATTTTCATAAACCATTTTATTAGAATTTTTAATTCAATATTAAAATCTCATAATAATATATAAAGTTGTAATAAATATTTAGCTGTTTCTCTATATACTTCACAAACTGTTCTTAAATATAATATTTCACGTTGAATTTGATATTCATTAAGAGAATTTTCAATTAGAATTCGATCATTATGAAAATTATTTAATATTATTAATAATTCTTTTGAATAAATTGTTAAATTTTCTTTTTTTTCAAGTATATCAGTTAATTTTTCCTAAAAATTTATTTTATTTATTTTATTAGAAACAAAAAATTTTTTTTCTATATAACTTACTCACCGTTGAAATTTTTCATTTAATGAAATTAAATGATTTTGTTGAATAATATTACTTTGACATTTTAATTCAACAAGATGAACCCAAAGATCCTTTTCAATTTTATTTAAACTTAAAATTATTTATTCATGTCTTTTATATCTATCTAAATGAATCAATTCATATGAAAGGAAAAGTTTTTTACAGAACAGAATAGTCCGCTGAAAGAAAGATATATCCGCTGTTGGAGTATTTATATTTTGCTTTTTCTATAACTACTGATGTACGTATTATTTCATTAGATATGCAAAGTCCCATATATTCTTAGCGGACTTTAGGTAAAGTGGACATTTTTTGGACCTTTGATATTACTGAAAATACCACATCCATTATGATATAAATGTTACAAGCTGATTTTCAACAAAAATAGTTCTTATCGAAATTTTATCATGATGATATTAGTTTAGTAATGATCAAATAGCATAGAAAGGTAGAGCCAAAGGCACTCTATCTATTCATAAAAAAGAAATTTTTTTCAACCTTTCAATAAGAAAAAAAAAAGAACCTTCACCACTAGTTTTGGATATCCTAAGTGTTATATAACAAAAGCAAACAATTGTGACTTTTGAATTTCTTTTCAAGAAATGGTTTTCAATGAATTAAAAATTGAAAATTTGACACTTTTAGTAAGTTTCAATCTTTGCTTGTATTTTCTCAAACGATAGAATGCCCGATCTTTTTTTTTAATTTGTCCAGAAAGAAAAAGAGGAACAGCTTTTTTTTCGGTCGTTATCCATTGAATATTTATCTTTTGATTAATATAAGCATAGACAATAGCTTATCTCTTTCTTTGTATGATGTGTGCAAAATGAGTTAACACGCATGATTTATTCTAGAGAAAGAATGAAAAAATATTCTCTCTATTATAACTTATGCATATAAACAGCAAGCTTAACAGTGTAAAAAATACTAATCCAAAGCTATATTCACTGCATTGTCTACTTATTTTTCTCTCTTATTTATATCGACAAGATGGATAACAACAGAAAATTGGTTGTTTTTTTTATCATATTAGTATTCTTGGTAATATACAACACTGCGTTTGAAGAAGATTCTGAATGGGGTGGCGCAGGCTTCCCGAAGTCACATCAAAGTGCTCGTAGACATTCTCTTGATCTATTACTTAACAAACGTATTGTGAATTCATTTTCTTCACGATCTTAAGCAATAACAAAATATCACAGTGAACATTCAAAAATCCATAGTATATTTGAAAACATGCTTGTTAAGTTAAGATCTTTTCCATTGAAATCTAAATTTGTAATATAAACAATAAAATTTTGCTTTTCACTAAACAAAATATTTATATCAAAGCTTTTTTTGACCAATTCACTTTCTCAAATAATCTTCGTACATGTTAAAGCTCTGATAATATCATTGAAGTAAGGAAAAGATTTTGGATAGAATTTTACCATGAATATGTATTATTCTTCTATCATCTGTTTGTTGATTACGTAATTAAACATAAATGTGTACTTGAAAAGGGACTAAATATTCTATTGGAATCTTAGTGTAAATTATCCCTGTACTTGATTTTTGTCGATCATGAAATCAACTTTGCATGTTTGTTTTGAAAATGACGAAAGTATTTGAATAAATGTTGATAAGAAATATTCGATTGCACTATTTTCATTTATTATCTAATGAACACTATTTAGTTCAAATTCATAGAAGGTATTTGAACGAAATCTTAGTGCAAATTATTCGTTTCTCATGTGTATATTAATAATATTGTCGACATCAATACCTTTCTCAAACATTAACTCAATAATCAGATGCAGCTTTTGTTGAAACCATTCATTTCCTTCTTCTTCTCGATCATATTATTCTTGAGAAATTAAATGTTCAAAAAGCTAAAAAACAGTAGAATAGAATCTTAGTATGAACTATTCTTTTCTCATGTAATCAATAGTATCCCATCAGATCTAAACATTTCTTTCAAAACCATTAAACTAATAAAATAGCATCATGCTATGTATTATTCATCTGTTCTAAGTTTCTCTATTATCTAAACAAAGTTGAATCCTTGCTGTTGACTTGTCGAGATACATGACATAAAACGTGTTATAGATTATTTCTATATTGTATGTTTATCGTTTATACTATAATTTATGAATGTTTCAAAGAAAGAGATGGCAATATTTGAATTGTTGTTTGCTATAGTCTATTCGTTTCTGTAGATAGAGTGATTATATATATTCAAACTAAAATTTCTTTTGAAAACAGTAAAACATTTGAATAGAATTTTTTTCTAACATATTAATTGTTCATCTGAGATTCTACTAGATATCGTACTACATATTACTGCTTGAAGTAAGTAATATATTTGACAAGAACTTTGATATGTGTTACTCATTCTTTACATGATATTTTAAACATTCAATGTATTTCAGATTTTCTTTCATACTCTTCACAATATGTAAAAAGAAAATTTGTGTCAAGTATTCGTTTTGCATCTGATATTCAAGTAAAAGGATGGATTCGACATTTTAATTTCACATGGAGTGATATTCTAGAATAGAAGTTTAATTTGAATTTTTCAATCTCTATGAAATAATCGTAAATTCTGTATGTCAAATATATATTTCTAAACTAAATACAATACTTGACTAAATTTTTATTAAAGATTATTCAATTCCTTCCAAATATGCAATCAAATTGTGTAAATTACAGTTGATTTTGAACAATTTGAAATATTTCAATAGAAGCTTTTTTGTAATAACTCACTCGCTATGAAACACGAAAACATATTACGTACTCTTCATATTTTATTTCTAATTGAGTGACATAAGTAAATAGATCCTTGCTTTGAATTATGCATTCTTCCATTGGATACATCATCACATAACGTACGATATATTTTATTAGGAAGCAAATTAAAATATTTGAAATAATGTTTTCTGTAAATTATTCATTGTTCATGTAATATTTCGACTATATAATGTATCAAATATTTAATTTTCTAATAGTTGAAATATCTAAATAGAAATATCTTCAGAATCATTCCGCTTGTCTGAAATATTTGAACATATTACATACTTAACATTCTAATATGAAGTAAATGAAATATGTTAATATAAGTTTGATTTTAATTATTCAATCTTGATGAAATACTCAAGAAAATAACATTTTTTAACGCTTTATTTTTATGAAACTGAAATACTTTTATACTAATTTGATTTTAATTATTCATTCTTTATGAAATAGTTGCCGATTATGATATTCTTTCAATTTTAAATTGAAGTAAATAAAATAATGTAATAGAAGGTTAGTTTCAATTATTCATTCTTTATGTAATATTTGGCAATATGACATTTATCAGATGTAATCATAAAACAAGTGAAATATTTCAATAGAAACTTAATTCTAGTTCTTCGTTTATTGTGGAATATTTGACCATATTACGTAATCTGGATTTCATTTGAAAGTTAGCAACATATATGAACAAAAGCTTTATATAAATGATTCACTCTTTGTCAAATATTTAAGAATATTTCGAAATTCAGATTTTCGTTTGGAGGAAGTGAAATATTTGAGTAGAAATTTGGTTTGAATCATTCATTTTTTCGCAAAATATTGGATCATACAATGTACTTTAAATTTTGTTGTGACGTAAGTAAAAATATTAGAATAGAAGGTTAGTTTGTATTATTTATTCTTTGTGAAATGTTTGAATCATATTATATACTCTTAATTTTATTGTATAGAAAATAAAATATTTGAAATGAAACTTACTTTTAACGCTTCATTTTTCATGAAATATTTGAGAATATGACTTCCTTCGAATTTTATTTTTTAAATCAAATGTAATAGTTGAATGAAAATTTATTTATACTTGTTCATTATCTCTACAATATTTTGTCATATAATATGCTTGTGATTTTATATTTTGGAAGTAGTAAAATAATTGAATGAAAATTTTTTTCGAATCATTCGATTTTATTCGAATATTGACCATACTATATGTTTGAAATTCTATTTTCAAGTAAGTAAAATATTTAAATAGATATATCCTTTAATGAATTCATGATTGATGCTCTGTTTGACCTATAAGTGATACTTCGGGTTTTAATTTAAAGATCGAAAAATATGTAAATAAAAAACTTCTTTGCATCATCTATTATTAGTGGATTAATTCGACTGTATGACACATAGAAAATGATGTTTTTAATTAAGTGAAATATTGGAACAATATATTCATTTAAATCATTCGTCCTTCATCGAACGTTTGAGTCTACTATATTATTTGGAGTTTTATTTTTCAGTAATTGAGATATTCTAATAGAAAGTTACTTTGTATTGTTCATCTTACGTGAAATCTTTGATAAAATTAATTTCTTTCAATTTTTCTTTTGATATAAGTGAAATATCTCAATATAATCTTCGTATAAACTATCCATTTTTCGGGAAATATTACAAGATATTATACAGTTAAGGTTTTATTTGTTGATAAAATGAAATATTGAATCAAAGTTTCTTTTAAATTATTCATTAACCATGGAATATCTGAATGTATCACTTAATTCAGATTTTATTTTGATGTTATTGACATATTTGAATTGAAGTCTTCTTTGAATTATTCATTCTCAGTAGAATATTAAAAAATTTACATAGTTAATATTGTATTTTAAAGTAAATGAGATATTTTAATAAAAGACTAATTTACATTATTTAGTTGCCAAGGAATGCTATACTATATAGGTGCCTCAAATTTCATTTATCAAGCAAGTGATATGTTTGAATGAAATCTTGGTTTGAATTATTCATTCTCTATTGAATATTTGACACTATCACATACTCGATATTTTTTTTTGAAATAAGTAAATTATTTAAATTGGATCTTACTTCGAATCGTTCATCCTCCCTAAAACATTTAGCTATATAACGTTCTTTAAGTTTGATGCATTAGTTAGTGAAGTACTCAAATAGAAGTATCTTTCGAGTTATTCTTCATTTGTGAAGTGTATAGGACAAAATAACGTACTTGAGATTTTATTTCGAAGTACGTGACATATTCAAGTGAAGACTTGTTCCGAATTATTCACTTTTCGCAAGATGATCAACTGTGTTATATATTTCATATTTTCACTTTCATGTAAATGAAATATATTAATAAAATCTTCGTTTGAATCAATCATCTTCTATAGGATATTCGACAATATCAGCTACTGAAGATTTTTTATTTTAAATAAGTGAAATAATTAAATACAAATTTGGTTTGAATTATTAATTGTTTGTAGAATATTCAATTCTTTATTGTAATTCAGAATTTATTTTGAATTAAGTGAAATATTTGAATAGAAGCTTTATATGAGTTATTCATATCTTGT